CGCCTTCCTATGGTTCACCTCAGCACCTGGGCCTCCGCTGGCCCCAGCCAATCAAACACCTTTGTTTGTATAACCGGCCCCGCCCACTAGCCCCTGCTGAGGACCTGCTAGCTAAGAATACAAATATCTCCATCTGGGTGTGATTCTGTTGCTGAACCCCCCTATCCTAAGGATTTAGCATCACCTTTCAAAGCCTATGGGGGTCTTGCAGTCATGTTGATGAAGGGAAATAATTGGGATTCACAAATATTTGATCCGAGATCTCTTAGGAGGTCGCATTTCTTACACTCTGAAGTCCTAACAGAGAGTTACTCTTTTCCAGGGCACACAATTGCAATCACCGCCTCTGAGCCCTCCGCTTCTCCTTGACTTTTCCAGGTGCCCTAAAATCTCCGGTGCTTCTTCCCATAGGCTGCTGCCCACTACTGGCTATCTGCAGTACTGCACTCCTCATCAGCAAGCTGTAAGCACCCCTTGATTGATGCTCCCAAACCACCCAAAGCAACCACACTGTCTAGAGGGAAAAGGGAATAAGAGGTTACCACACTAGAATACTGCGGACCTGGTCAAATGACTTTGTTACCTTTGGTAGGTTTAAACTCATCATCTTGTCCCACGTTCCCTTCTCTTACCTTCAGGTCTGTACTGGGCCACAATGGTGACTGACTGGCCAGCCCGTTTGAGAGCAGCTGCTGCCTGCTCATGAGTAGCATTCCTCAGGTTCACTCCATTTACCTGTCCAAAGAGAGGAGCTGTGAGTCACCCCAAAGGCAAGAAAGAGTTCATTAATCATAGCACTTAGAAAAGGTAATGTACAGCCCATCTCTCAGCCTATTTGGATTTGCTTTCCCAAAATTTCATCCTTGTCCTCCCCACCAAATTAGGCCTAAAGGATACAATCTCTGTGGTGTCATAATTATTTTTGTTGAAGTCAAATGCCAATCAAAATTAAGATCCAGGTACATTCCTTTCTCCCTCAAGCATAGTCTGGTCTTGGTCCCTATTCCCTCATTAAAGATATTTATAAAGACAATTTACATTTTCTTCAGTTCTTAGTCCTTCCTTCATCTTGAAATATTTCTTGGCGGACACTAGGACTCCCCTCCTTTTTAGCTTGGCACAGCACCCATCCTCCCACCTCGCCTTTGTCTCACCGATAAGATCCGGTCTCCCCTTCGCAACTCCCCACTCAGGTCGGCTGGGCCTCCTGCCAGGATAAAGGAAACAAAAATGCCTTCTCCATCCTCTCCTCCTACGATGTTGAAGCCCAGGCCTGTAGAACCTTTGTGAAGGATGATCTTGCGGGGCTCTCTGGAAGGAAAGGAGTAAAGATACGACAAGGGCGGTCAGGATGACAGAAAGTGTTGACCCTGTGAAGACCAGTCTGTCACAAGATCCATACTTGCAATAGGAAGCAAAGAGTTGAGCTTCTATATGTGATACCCCGCTCTTCCCTTTGTCTCTTGAAACCTGCTTGGCTGCTCTGTTATGTCAAGTGCCAAGTTTCAGTTCCTCTTCCCAAAGTCTTCTAGTCAATTTCCCAATGGACATTTCTCAGCACTCTCAGGTCAACAAAACCTCATCCAGAACTCTAGAGCCCAAATTTCACAGCTCACGCACTCATTTTCACCCGAATCTCTGGTAAGCTCTGTGAACCGCCCTGGGCTGAAAAAAGAAACTTATTAAGGGCAGCGGAGTCACCCTAAGTTGATGGTCCTCACCATCCAAAAGAGACTTTCATTACACCTACTGCTGCAATTTTTTGAAGTTCTGTCCTCCAACTATGACCCCAAAAATATAAAGCTACCACTGATATAGAAGAGTCGAAAAAAAAAATCCCAGGTCCCTAAATGGTGCTCAGGGACTAAACTGAAGAGAGGAGACAAATATATTTTTTAAAAAAAAAAACTGATTAAAACTGGCCATAGTCAAGGAACCTCTCTCTAAATGGTCACAGTGCCACCAGGTGAGCAGAATTATCTGCACATGTGTGTCTATGCAACTCTCCCGACTCCCCAGCACATTGTCCCATCCTGCCATCTTCATTTGTTACAAACATCTTTCCTCAGAGGAGGCCCAGGTCTCAAGCGAGCCTGCCTCTTCCTTTCTTGCTGTTCGGAGTCTCGGGTGCGATGCTCCCTACCTGGCATCCCCTCCGGGCCGCAGGGA